TTTTTTTTTTTTTTTTTTTTTGGGGGGGGGGTTGGTTGGTAAGAAACAGAGCAAAACGAAAGAAGAAAGGTTGGGAGTGAATGCTGCTTTTTCAGCAAGACAATATGAATAATACATCGAGTAAACCCAATATGGCCAAAATGCTTTCGAAACACCATGCATCAGAGTAAAACTTGAGTTTCTTCGACATCTTTTGAGTTCTTTCCTCTCACTAGATTCCCAAGCTGATGTAGAACTCTTTCCTATATCAGGGACAGATTTTCCATTTTCCTTCTCATGGGCAGAATGCACTGATCCTACAGAATCAGAGTCATTTAGATGTGACATCGCACGTTGGTGTTTTCCCTCTGACCCAGTTATCACCTCATCACTACAAGACTCTCTGGAATCAATTGCTGCTTGGTGGATTTTCCTCTCTCTCAATGAAAGCTCACGTTCAAAGCTTTCTTCTGAAATAGAGGCCGAATTATCCTCCTCATCCCCGGACGTAAATGATCTAGAGCAAGAAGTATATGAAGCCAATGCACATGGGAGACTGTGGTGCTGAACAGTACTCCTTGGAGTCAATTCTCCAAAAGCATCCCGTGGAGTCCTTAATGGAAAATCTTCCTGGATAATTTGCACTTCTCCACATGGCTAGAAGAAAGATAGCAATCTTATTAAACAAGGAAGAAGTAAATAATACAGATAATTCAAGAACAACAACTTGCTCTAACCACTCCTTCAACATCAATCCAACGGCGTTTAAGACGAAATCATTGCTTCCCTCTAGCCAGAACATTAAGAGAACCATCCCCCAACCTCCCAAACTGCCGAATCTGAAATATAGAGGGTTGGTAGGTATATGGATGCATGTCATCAGAAGTATGGAAGCCTTTACATTAAAATTTAGATAGAAGCTAAACAACCCCAAATCTTGGCTACAGGCCAAATTACAGAAAATAATTGCTTTTGGAATAATGCCAGAAAAGGAGAAGACCATGCAAGTCAAAATGGAGCAATAATACCTCTGCAGTTGTCCCAATATTCGCAAAATGTAGTCTCTCATTATCAGAATCCAAGGAGACGTGAACCTGAAATAAATATTGAATCTTGCTTGAGCTACCAATAATTTCAAGGAATCTTTAAAACTGTATGCCAATGCCTAAATTTGGGCACGTACCACACCTATGGTATTAGGGGTGTTAAAGTGAGTTAATACTCTCTCAATGGCAGCAATAAAGTTTGATTGTATCACTCTGAGAGGTAGAGTAGCTTCTGGGAACAACACAACACCTGAGACATGTGAATTGCACATGACATACTAATAAAAGAGACAAGATAGGAAAAGGTATCCCCACGAAGGTTATATATGTCAGTTGACCAGTCTAATCATGAAAAAATTAACTTGTCCGCTCAAAGTTTGGAAAAAGCAAGGGCTCCTCAATTGAACTATTCTTCATTCTGTCAACAATTATGTCTAAACACTTGAGATAAGCATGCAGGACCTGCAGATACTTTTAACGCATCAAGCAAGAGGAAGATGATTAACAAACATATTATTTCCTCACTCCCCATGGAAGAAAGGAATGCTGCTTCAGACATTAACTAGGCATGCTGAACTATAAAATTTGAACATTTATGGTCACAGCGTGAATCTATTTAATTAGCTCTCTCCAAGAAAAAGGACACCTATTTGTTCCAAGAAATTGTGCGACTTTTCCATCATACTCTAATGGAATGGTTGTATTTCGCTAATCCAAGGAAGATAACAATTCTTTTTTTACAAGAACATTAAAAATAACGATTGGACTTAACAAAGTTGTATAATTTATAGATTTTGATTCTTTAGATTACAATGATATTTGTTTTAAACCATTTTTAAAAGATAAAGATACATTTGTATATTTCAAAAAATTTAAGAGAGGGAAGTTTGTTACTATCCTAATCAGAGATGCATAAACAGATGAATACCTTCAAGATAAAATACAGGGAGGTTCAGGATGGCACCACCATCCAAGAAAGCCATCCTGTGATGAGAATCCTCAACCTCTGTTACATGCAACCACAGGAGATCTTAGTAGAACTGTATCCCAAATGGAATTAACATGAATACTCAACATATTAATCAGAAAATAGAAACTCATACCACCAAGATACGTATGCAAAGATGTCAAAGAGGAATTGAAAGTAAATTCAGCAAAGGCCTCAGTACCACCATGCCCATTACTGCTTCGATACAGCCGGAAAAAAAAGGATGATGTCAGTGCCTTCGATGAGAACTAAAGTAGGCCACTCACTCAAAATAATAATAACTCAACAATAGTAAGAACGACAACAACAGCAAGGACGTCCGAAAGAACGCACGAATTGCTGACATCAAATAAATTATATTGAACGCAAATAAAGCAATTCAATTCATTAATAACATCACCCTTTAATGATACGGATGACTAAATCTAGCAAACGACTAAAATAACCTTGTAATTTCAGTTGGAGAAAAACTGATGGGAGGCATGAAATCTAATAATTATGCCAGTCCGTCAATAGGAGCCCTTAACTAGATATCCGTTCTTAACTTAATGAAAAAAAATAATCGAATCGATACTCGCATGTTCAAGTTTCCTGGTGTCTTCATAAGGAGAATGAAACGAAACATATATGAACAAAAGAACGGACTATTCTCAACATTCTACATCGATTTCAACTTTTTCAAGATGTTTCGGCAATCGGCAGTGACAGGAGAAAGTAACAATACCATGTACAACTGATTACCGAGAGCCATTAGCGTATCTGTCAATTTACTCTGAAAGCTGTCTACACGTAATACTAATGCGAAAATATACAAGCAAATGTGCAGCGACAATGGAGAATTGGAGAAATTTTTGGAGTGAACTAAAAGGTGCGCCATGTAGTGCACCGACGCTAGCATTTTGACTTGAAACATAATCTAATAAAAAAAATTTCCCAAAGCAGAAACCATTCTTCAAATTCAAATTCAGAGATTAAAGAACTATGGCTATAAGTAATTCGGGTTTTTTCCAATCCAGAGCACCGCGCAAAAACCTTATGAGCGACAATCAAATGTGAAAAAGCGAACGGCCACACATAAATAGGAGAATGTAAACATTACATAGCATCGCGATCATCGTCGGAGTGGGGGAGGGAGTCAACTTCCTCAACTTGCAACTCCTCATTATCAAGCTGAAGAATCTGCTCGATCTGATGCCTCTCTCTCTCCAACAGCCTTCGGTCCTCCATTGCTCAGGGCTCTTGTATACGGAAAATTGGGAATTTCATCGATCTATCGGAGCAGCTGAGTCGCACCGCCACCGAGCTCAGATCACCGACACAAAATATAGTTTCCTTCAATGGAACAAATCACAGAAAAATTCCTCCGTCGAAAATGTGCCCGTGTTTTCCCGCACCAGCAAATGGCGCCAACTGCAGTAGTGATGCGTTTCTCCTCCTCAACTGTAAGCAAAATGAAGATATATAAAAAAGTTAGAATTTAAAGAATTTAATTATTTTTTAAAAGAATTTAAATTTATGAATGATTTATTAATCACTAAATTAATAATATAACCAATTTTTTTTATTAATATTTAAATAGATGCAATTAGCTTTCAAAAGATTGGAATCTCAAATTTTAAACGTATTTTATTTATTTTATAAATAACGAATGAATTTATAAATCATAAAAATAATTATGTGTTTTTATACATCATAAATCATATAAATCGATCTCTTCCACTCTTGTGAATATTTTGATTTTTCTGTTTGAAGCCAAATTAGAGGGGAGAATGCCTTCCTATTGGCCACATCGTCTCCTTTGCTCCACCGAGAGTCCTGACCTCTTCTTCGATCTTATCTAAAGCTTTATTCCTTGGTTCCTTACAGCTCCAACCGCTAGCTACAATAGCTCCTTGGCTCCTTACAGCTCCAACCGTTAGCTACAATAGCTTGCACCTCTGGTGGTGCGACTGAGTCAGAGTGGGCTCAGCAGTCGGCCTATGTTTCCAGACACATGCATAGAGGTATAATTGGTTCCACAAATCTCACTACACTGACCATAGTAAGACGATGGGCTCGCTCACCCACCTCTAGACCCTATGCTTCTAGGCTATGACGAAACAAAATTCGAAAATTCCATCTGAGTATAGCACTAACATATGGGAGCTAAAGTGAACAAGAAGATTGGTGTCTACACCTTTGGGGTTGTACTCATGCCATTGATGTTGATGTTGTTCAACTCCTAGGCGCTAATTCCTATATAACATCAACAAGATCCTTGCTGTTTCTGGAAAAATCAGGGTGAGCAAACAAATCGATAGCTGTTTGCACAATCCAGCAGAAGTTGGGAATCAATCAAATTGCTGCAAACCCAACTGTGGAAAAAATAATTGGGAGTGTTCGATTTTAATGAAGGGAATACTTCATGCAGTACTCAAGCTTCTTTTTGATAGCGGTCATAGGATAAGGATCTGATCGAGTTGAAGGCCATTAGGTATTGAAGTTAAACGCAATTCGTATCATATAAACAGAGAGTTTCGAGAAGAACACTACACCGCAGATGTTAATCGACTGACCCGACACTCTCTTGAGATGCCTAACTAAAAGTACAAGCAACCCTCCCTCTTCTCTCTCCCTTCCCCCTCCCCTCCCCACCCCACCCCAGCCCCCAAGAACAGAGGAGGAAAAAAAAAACAGAGATGAAATGGAAGAAAACATGGAAACTTTCTCCGCACAATGTTCAATTGAGACTCAATATGGTTAAACTGCAAGACTGAAGGTCTCTCTCAATAAGTGTAGATTAGATTCTCTCCTTAGAAACGACCTCACGAGCAGTTCCTCCTTTTCACAAAGAAGCTGCCGTCTTCTAAACATGGGAAGAAGCTGTGACAGTAGTTCCAGTAACAGGCATCTAACATGAAATGCACCACAATCTTCAAAGCATAACTCACAAGCACTTATTTAAGGTCCAACAGTGCTTGCTTCTCCGGATTCCCATGTTCAAGGACAACAAACAGCATATTGGAGCTGAATTGTATGCCACGCCACCAAGCCACGCGACCCCTCCCCATGTCCGCAGGTTCATGCATGATGAACACCATCTACATCAATATCAAAGCCAGTTATTGAGGTGATACTTACCAAATATGGCTAGCTCCCGCTCTCCCAACCCATCTGCCATCCAGAAATTCCCCTCCACATGTCATGTCTTTGAGGTTCAGATTCAGTCTGTTCAAAGGATGCTAAACAGCCAAACAAGCAACATAAAGAGAAGATGATCAAAATAAACATAATACTCAGGCAACTTAAGTACTAATCCTTTTGCCAGATTCAGAAAAATAATCCTTTTTCTAATTGAAATTGCATCGAGGCTAAATACACATGCCTTCTTGCCAGATCCTCCCGTCTCTTTTACACCAGAATTTTGCTTAGTCTTATTTAGCTCCATTCTGGGACTGCCTGATCGCTGAACTTGGGCTATAAAATGAAGTTTAAAAAAGAAAAAAAACTAATTAGGCAAAGATTTTCATGAGGGAAAAAAGGTAATGCGGGAAAAACTTGAGAGCAGAAATGGGTTCTTTAGCACAGTTACTGAAAATATAACACGTATAGTGGCGCAGGACCTGCCACCACATGTGCACCAGTCAGAAGATTGCCTGTGCGAAAATTTGGAATTACAAAATGATAATTAAAATGCAACAGGAAAATAGACCAACAATTATGGGTCGGAAAGAGAGAAAAGGAGAGAAGGCATGGAGAAGAGATATGGAATGAAACAACAAGAGTGCTTTTTGGCAAAAAGAATAAATACTTAAGGTATCAAACCATAAATATGTTTATATCTTCTATTCTTCTGATTGATATCAATTAAAATCTCAGCCTCCTCTCAGCTTAGATTCCTTGGTGGAAGCAACATCATCAGTTATAATGTGTTGTGTACTTGTATATAAAATGCAAGTAATTTAAGCAATTAGAGATTCAAACCTCCAACTCTTTAGATTGACCATTTTGAAACACTCTTCCAGTCACAACGGAACCATTTTCCAACGCCAACTCTGGATCCGTCCTGCTATCATTGCCCTGCAAATACCCGACTCACTATCTCCAGAATGCCACTTCTCTTACTGCCATTGGCTATGATTTGTAATCCAATGTAGTCAAACTCAGTCACTCACCTTGCAACTAAGGTTATGTGCATTGCAATTTGGTTGAAAGTCAACTTGGGTACTATCTTCCCCGGTCGTTTGACCAAATGTATTTGCTGACTCAGAGTCAATCCTCACAACATCCTTTGTCCAATGGAGGAAATTCCTGATGGCTACTGTCTGTGCACTTCCACCACTCATATTAGATGCTAATCCCTCAATTTTTTCCTGGTTCATCTCAATTTGTAAAGCTTCCTCGGAGTTCGAAAGACCGCCTTTATATAGATCAGGCACCTCCTTCCTTGAGGAAGATCCTTCCATTACTTCAGCTAGCTCTGCCTGATCCATCGTAGGACCAGTCTCCTTGGTCAAAGTTGGAATATCCATGCCATTTCCATCAGTATCCATTCTGCTATCAGGCTGTTCAAAAGATGGCCAAACCTCAGAGTAACAATCTGCATTTGCAGATTTCAAACTCGGCAATTTCCCATCTGATCCACCACCATTAGTTTCAAGCATGGGAGATTCTTCTGCTGGTTGACTGGCAAAGGCTTGTTTCTTTTCCATCTCTGTTTCTTCATGGTCACTTTTCCTTTTTTTCCCTTTCTCAGTGATCCCAGACTGATCTTGGAGCATGTCAGCACAAACTGGGTCAGTTTGCTGCCCCCCTTCATGCCTGACTGACTTTGCCCGTTTGTGTCCATCAGGAAAAACAAAGGTGGGCAGTTGCTTCCTCCGCACATGAGAAACATGGATATCCATCCCAGGCTTCCAAAAAGCATACATGTTTATCTCTTGCCTGAACTCATCAACTGTTCCTCGTATGTCAAACTGCTGGCCTCCTTGGCCTCTTAATCCCTCTTTTCTCTGCAAGCCCATGAAAAAAGCACAGTGAGAACATGGCTTGGATGTGTCAGAATACTCAATAGGATAGGGATGGCACTGCAGCATCCCCCTGGTGTCTCTCTCTATCTGCAGGAAGGAAAAGTAGAATATATCAGGCTCCTGAAAGACCCTCCAACTTCAGATAGATAATAAGGAAAGAATAATAGATTTACCTTCAAGGTAAGCTGTCTAAAGCGAGATTCTACCCATCCTTTCCAAGCTAGCAAATCATCAGCATCTGCTGCAATTATGTCCACCTGTAGATAGTTTTTGTATATCTCGAAAAATAAATATGGCTCAAATAAAGCACTCCACTGGGCTTTGCTCATGTCAATATCCTGTAAGGCACTCGGAGATGTAAGAGAAATAATATTAAGAGCAGGTTAAAATTTAGAAGATTTTGAATCCAAATAAAAATAACCTCACCTCACAGATATTATTACCACAGCGGAACTGTTCCATCATAACACGGAGAGTACTAGTCGAGACATTATAGCTAGAGTTCATGCAAGGGTAAGCAGGAGTTATTATTGGCATAAGATGAAATCGATCACGCGGATTTTTACGAGGATCCCAAACAGGAAATCCAAGTTCATTCTCTTCTATTGAACATAGCATTACAGGATTTGGCCAACGCCACTGGGTGTACACTCTGAAGAAACGAGAAACTAGCATGCTTGGAATTGCATTGGGGTAAAGCTGGCATACCTGAGCAACCAAAAGTGCCCAATTTACACCTCCAAGGAACCCAGTGACCTATACATGAAAAAAAATAAAAAATAAAAAAAAACAAAAGTGAAATCTGAATTATGACAAATATAAGTGAAGCTAAGAGGAAAAACTCCATGATCTTACAACTTACATTGGAGTATACACCCCGTCTTTTGGCCCAAAACTTTAAACATCTGAGTGTCGTGCGAAAGTGCTGCAATTGGCAATTATAGGTTACAGAGAAAATCACGAAATAGATTTATGGAAAAATAACTCAGGTTTAAAATGTGTTTCACCTCAACGTTTGGAACAAGTCTTAGAATTTGATCTGCAACTCGGCATCCATTAAGACTTCGAACAGTTTGTTCATCAACATTGCACAGCACAGATCCATGAGAGATATTCAGCTCCTGATGATTAAGTAAATTGCAAAAAGTTTATGGGAAATAGCAACAGTTCAAAAGATCAGGGAAAAAGAGGATTGAAACAGTAGTAGTAAAACAATCAGTAAGTGATACCACCCAATCACAGTTAAATGTACAGCAGATAAGGTTATGCAAAAATGTATCACCTGTTCATTGTTAACACACACACACACACACACACACACAGTGAACAATTAGTGCACCTACACAGACTCAAGGTAACAAAACGAACTTATCAGATAATCAAAATAAAAAATGCTCGGAATGGTGTGAGGGAGAAAAAAGCAATTCCTGTTGTATATAATAGTCCTCTTTCAGAAGAGAAATTTCTCTATCCAGCCGCTAGCCATGTAAAAGATAAAATAAAATAAAACAAGAAGATAAAAGAAAGAAATCCCTGAAATTCAATCAAAACCACATTGGTCGGGAAAGGGGGGGAACAAATGATGCAGCTTCAGCCACAGGATATGCAAACAAGAAAAGATGGTGACTGCACTGGAGGGTACATGAAAGCTGGTAGAAACGGTTCAAACTATAAATAAAACTACAAAAACAATCCATATAAGTAAACACAATTGGCATTCATGTCCATTCACATTACAATGTTTGGCATTTAGACTTTTATCAGACAGGTAGTTCTGCATGACTTGTGGAAATATTCGCCATAAAGCTGAATATAGTAGAGAGAGAAGTAACATATATAACATACAATAGTTCGAAATCTCATATGATCAACTACAATAAATAATGTAACAAAAAGAAATATGGTTACAATTTTGTGAAAACATAAAATAAAGTAACAACAATCTGAAAACATAAAATAAATATGATAAAATTTCAAAGAAAGTGCTAGAACTTACTTCAGGAACAACCCGTACGGAAATGCTCGCATACAGAAGATCTATTGATATCCCCATAAATTTGAATCTCATTACTGGAACATGAGCATCGGGAACCGGTTGAAGATCGGTAACCTCTTCCATTTCAGCCAAAATATTATGCAAGATGATGAAGAAGTCCTCCATTAGAAAAAAAAAAAATTGTCAGATCAAGAATATGCTGAAATTTAAGCCCATATGAGAAGGCAAAAAATGTTGTTTTAAGTATCAGCAATTTATACTACTCACTTCTCTATTCACGTAAGATGGTCCAACACACAATGTGTCTATGTCACTTCCTGGTCCATGTACCTGTCATATGGTTAATTTTAAGTCACATCTTTGAATACTTGGAAGTCATATTTTTTAATACAATGCACAGGCCAATAAGGAAAAAATACAGGAAGAACACAACTTTCCAAGAAATAAACGATCATTGCTCTAAGCAATCACCAACCAGTCCGTGACTCCAACAAAAATTACGAAGAGTTGCATAAAGTAATAAGCTTTTTTCCCCAAAAACTAAATCAAATATTATGCTTACCCCAAGACGATAAGACCCAAAAGTAAAAATTACAGCATTTGCATCCTCCACCATCTGCTCTGTATATCCTCTTAGGAGAGTTAATTGCTTAACCCAATTTTTAACAATCTAGAATGAAAGAAAATGGCCAAGGACAAGAAGTTTATGTCATAAAAGGAAGTCAAACGCTTAAATACATTAAACAATAATTAATCAACTAAAATCTCGCTTTCGTCACCGATTAGAACACTGTTTTGTTCGAGATGGCTACTGAGAACAATCCCCAAAGTAAAAGACTATTGAAGTGAAGAAGGTCTGCACCTGGTCAATGCGGCCCAAAACCTCTTCTCTTTTCGCAGCTTCTTCTTTACTCTCGTAAAGCCCCGAGTCAATCAAGAACTACCAATATGTAGAACACAATCAAAATTGAAATTCTTTTCGTTTACTGCAATTTCACACGGCACAAAAAAACAACCAAATTAATTGAGATTTAACCAATAAATAAAAGTAACAACACCTTCTCCAGTTCGATATTGCGCTGAATATCAGCATCCGTCGGTCCAGCAAGAGAAATCGGTTTCGTAACACCATAATTACTCGCCGGCTGAGGTGCCGGGTGAAAAGCAGTTGAACTGTCTGAACCCACCATTTCCCAAACAGCGAAAAAGACAGCTAACGCAAACACGACGAATCACGCAACCCTGAATCTGACCGAGAATTGACAACACAATCTGAGCAAATCTAGAAGAAAAAAAGAACAAAAACTCAAGCAAACTCAGGAAAGCCTCTCTGATCTACCAGGTACCTAAATTTGAAGATGAAATGGAATGATTGGGATCAAGATTTTATACGAAAGGCTGAATTAGAAAGCAAAGAGAAGCAAAAGAAAGAGTGTGCAAAGAAAGACAAGGTTGAAGAAGTATGAACAGATAACAGATCGAACCCTTGATTCGTACCGGCGATTGGTTGACGGTTCGTAAACCGGTCAAACTCAGGGCTGCATAGAGAGAGAAAGAGAGAGAGAGATGGCGGAGAGAGGGCGTCGAAGCAGGGAAGAGGGTTTAGTCAAGGCAGTGCTTGGCCCCATAAATTTTATTATTTTCATTTTGCTAAATTTATATTCCTTTTTTATTTTCACCAAATATATATTCCAATTTCGTTACATCAAAATTTTCAACTCAATTCTTAATTTTTTTTTTAAATAAATTTAATTCTAATAATTTAAAATGGTTTTTGATTTTTTTAGTTATAGTAGAAAAGATAATAATGAATTTTTAAAATAATGAACCAAATTTATAAAGAAAAAATGAATTTAAACTAAAAAAAATAAAAAATATAGATAGCATGATATTATCTATTTTAAATATTTTGGACTTCCCCAAAAGGTCTCATACTAATGGAAGACTATTCTTTGTTTATAAACTCAGGATCATTTTTTAAATTAGCCGAAGTGGAATTTTCATCATCTAACATATATGATATTTTAATATATCTCTAATGAGACTATATTTAAATTGACCGAGTTTTAAGAGAATTGAAATTATATACACATTCATTAATTAAAAATATATAATATTTTTACTGTAATTTGTAAATTAATTTTGAGATTAAATTTTAAAAAAAGGATTAATTTTTTAGAAGCGGTAAAAGATTAGTAACCAAAATTGGAATGTATAAGTATATATGGCTGTTTCCAGCTTGGCTTTCCACCTACCAAATTCCAATATGGCTGCCAAACTAATTTTAAATTTATTATTTTTATATTTGTAAATTTATAATGCAGTTTCCATTTTTTAATAAAATAAAATCCCAGAAAATCATTATTTTTAAAAACAATCATTGAGTTTTTTTTTTTTTTTTTTTTTTTTTTTTTTTTTTTCATTGCCCAGCAATTTTCTAAATTTCCATTCATATTTTTACATTTTTTTTATAATAATTATTGATTTAAAAAATTGATTTGAATAATCTCGTTAAATTCATTTTGTATTATATATGTTTTAGTATTCTTTAAAGATAAAGATAATCTTCTGATAAATTCTAAGAGATAATTCAATATTTTTCTTTAACTTTCGTGTTTCTATATTCGTCGTTGGTCCCATTAAGATAAAATATTTTTACTCTAGCTTTAGCTCGAAAGCCCGAAATCAAAATTATAAAACTTGCTCATATTCGTCTTATACTCGAAGTATATTAACAAAAGAAAAAAAAACATTTCATCATTTTCCCGTATCAAGTAAATTTTAGAACCGCCTGTTAAAATTGACACCAGTTCGAGCTTCCCTTTACTCGGGGCGAAGTGAAATGTCCATCTTAGACACTAAGGTTGCAAGAGAGACTCTTCCATGCTTCTTTGATATGGTAGCCTTGGGAGTAATTCGAGAGTATTTCTTTCTATAATCATTCTCTCCCTTTGCTAACTCTTCTACGCATTTCACGTCGGATAAGGATGAGAAGGTTCGTGATTTCCCTTCATAAAATTTTGACAACCCTTTTCTGCATAAGAGGTGAAATTCAAGATGCCAAAAACTTTAGAATTTGAAACAGAGCTCTACATTTTAGTTCAAAGAACATGAACTCACTTGATAGAAAGCAGCTGTTGTTCCTCACAAACTTCTCTTTGAGATAACAAAGATGACGACGAAGAAGAAGATGAAAATGACGATAATGCATCGTCGTCACAGAGGCTGGACGACGACGACGACGATCCAATTGAACTAGTTGAATCTTCTGAACACGATACGACGCTAAATTGAAGAAGATGAGGGATAAAACATTTCTCTTCCTTTCTATTAAAAAGACTTGTAGCAAAATCTGCATCAACTGTCAACTTCCTGAACTCCATGACTTTCCACAAAGAGAAGAATTGAAATGGATGAGTTCTTGATCTTTCAATTCTCTCTTGAGCTATATACTTGATTACTCAAGTGAGACCATGTAAAGGAAAGTATTTATAGATGAAGGACATAGGGCATAGGGCATAGGGCAAGTAGGTAGCAGGGGAGAAAGAATAAATCAAATCAAATGCACAATAATTTGTCTCACTTTTTCTTTTTGAGAGGATAAAAAGGACCAAACTTTTGTAGTCTATCCTATATCCTTTTTGAGTCATTCCACATTATCATACAAGTTATATGATTTATAATACAGATTAAATGTGTATATACAAAGACATTTCTACATTATATAATAATTAAGAAAGTATAGTCAATAAATTACCATACTAATTCCACATAATAAAACAAAAACATACCTTGTTCCTCAGCTGAGCATCTCTTGGAGTAGACAATTGTTCCCAAGGATAAGTTTGGAGCCTACAATGCATTTAGATAATAAAGTAAGTACACACGACAACAACAAAAATGCCATCAGTTGTCCTTGTGAGAATCTGTCGTCCAAGAGATAAAAACTTGGAAGTTTTAGTTAAAGCAGAGGCTGAATTGGTAGTTGTGATCATTGAGATTAAGTAACTTCCAAATTACTTATCTAATGAGTTTGGCTAAGGGCTTATAAAATTCCCCTCATGGCAGTTGGTTGGTGCCAAGCCACTTACTATCTTACATGGGTCATGGAAATGGATGCCTTTTTTGTTCCAAAAAGAATATACTAAAGTGAAGATGCTTGTTGGGATCATCCAATATGGAATCAAAAGGGCTTTGTTTTTTTGTGTGCAAGTTTTTCAGGCAATATCATTCAATTCTTCTTCTCAGTTCAGATTTCAAGCAAGGTTGCAGATTTTATGGCAATGTCCATACCTTTGCATTATCATGAATAGGAACTCCCACAAAGAATCATGCCAAATTGCTATGTGTCAGTTGTGAACAATGTGGCCACGATTTCAGTTCGTAAAATCCACATTCTGATTGATTCTGAGCCGTGTTAAAAATTGAAAGAATTAATGGCCAAACAATGAAACAAAATCAGAGTAGTATAGATTCAACTTTCTCTCAATCCGTTATAAAAATGTGGCAGATTCATAAATAAATAAAAAGAACAGAAATGTTAACATAACATGTCTGGAATACTTAGATGAGCAGACAAACAAAGATAAGGTTTTCATTTGTATCCTCAAGCATATCAGTTAGCAGAAAGTTTCCTTCTAAGTTGGCTAGCCTGAATCCTTTCTAAAGATTTGACAGTGTGGTTTGGTTGGAGAAGATGAAGCATTAAGCTAACTTCTCTAACTTTCAGTTTTAGTACACAAAAACATATCGATAAGTCTGAAGAGGTTAGATCAAATTTTCAATTCACCTACTTCAAAATACTGTCTGCTTTCCTATCTCTCCCAGTTGCTCGTTAAGATTCCCCAATTATCGTCTTACTAAGCCTACTCGAAGACGGTAGCCGAAAGTACTCTTTGGGATGATTGTCACACCATAAGACAAATGAATCAACTTTATTTCACACTCGGATTCCCACTCTTCAAAACCAAACGCAATAGAATTGAACTTTTACTTGATGGAAATATAAATGTATAATGTGGATTTGAAGAGACTAATATAGAGAGCAAAGATAGGTGTAATTTTCACATACCTAATATTATGAACCAAGGAGTGAAGTTGACCACAGTTGGAGTACTCATGGGAAAGCTGGATAACATTGTCTACTATTTGTAGAATCCAGCCAGTGCATTGCACCTCTCGTTATATGAATCCAAACTAGAAGGCTCAGATTCATGTCAAGAACCAAATGCAATCCTTTGAAGCTGGCATAAAACCCTCCTACAGAAAATAAACTAGGATATACTGAATGTAAATCAAATCCATAGCAGGGAGATAATGTACCCTAAATTTAAAGATTAAATTTTAATCCAAAAGATATCATGCTATCAGCAATCATTGGCGAAGAACTTCATTGACACTAGTATTTCAGGTTTTTTATCCAGAAACTTCAAGATAAATTTTAGCAACCAAAAGAAGATAAACAATCTCCAGGAAGCTCGAGAATGGTATTTCATATGAGGTAAATAAAATTCAAGAAGAATGAACGGAAACAGAGTAAATGGACACATAAACACTACTTGCACTCCAAAATCAGAAACAGATGAAAATATAAGCTCCCATAATGGTAGCCGGCACTAGAAGGAGATATTTTATTTTATTGTTTGTTTTACATCTAGTCCACATAATCCACAGAGAGTTGGTATTGGAAATTGGGAAGAAAATAAGTGAAGGACTAGATCTTAAACTGTCATTAGGCATTTTGGAGCCATTTTCCGTTATATAACATCCGAACTGACTGCTCCAACACAACGCACACAAAAGTACATTCATGATCCTTGGCGCCTCAAGGCATGCTCTAACTGAGAGTTTCTTCTTGCACATTCTAAGATGGTTTTATCAGCAGTGATGAAGTACGCAGCAATAGACGCTGTTCACAAATTAAAAGTAAAATGTTAATTCCTACAATAAGTAATACCAAGTTAATTCGACCCCTTTCTAAAGATGCTTCCATAATAGTTTTTAGCATTTTCTTTTACTTTCCTAGGGGGCAGAAAAATGGAATGGGCTCATACTTACTAGGAGTTCACAGATTTAACTCTTTAGGCTTTTCTGGGTTTGAAATAGATGATGACAATTGGTTAATCACAAGTTTGTACATAAGCACTATACCTGCAGAAATGATGAGTGCCTGAGCAGTATAATTAAGGTTTGCTTTGGCCCAAGGAACTACTCGAACAGCAACCAACTGAGGATGGAGGAGAAGAAGTAATATTAAACTATAAACATAAATTCACACACACAAAGACACACACACATCCCAAATGCTGTGAGAATAAGTCTCAATTTAGCTAAGACTTGCTCAGGAAATGCCCCACACATTACTTCAAATGGTTGTCAATATGGGATCTTTGTTGCAGTTGGTATCAGACTGATTAAAGCTTGTTAACCAAGACTAGTCTTCAATTTTTTATATTGGGGGAATTTCACCTTTCAACAAACCTCATCGAAGAAGTTTTGTTTCCTTTAATATAGTTTTTTATAACTATTCCTCTTTAATGCCCGAAAATGAAGAAGAGATTTCTCTTATCAAAATTCAGTCTAAATCTTCACTTCCTAAAAGATTTCTCTTAAAACACTTAGGACCTCATTGACCACAAAAAGGTGATTTTACAAATTTTTCTCCTATTTAAATTCTGCAATGTCTTAGGCATTACCACTACCACAAAATAGCACAAGGGACTAATAAGGTGGTATTGATACTCTGCATTTTATGTAGCAAATAGTTTGCCTGTTCAAATAAACAATGGGGGAAAGCTTTTATTACAAAAGAATCAATCCCCAGCAAACTCTAAATGTGATTTCCAAAGAAGATATCCTTAAAGAAATAAAACCAAATAATTTTCTTCAACCCACCAGCACCGAAATAATAGCGTTTTTCTTACTAAATCTACCATATGGAGATCAACAATCATATTCTACTTCTGTCTATGTCCTTTCTTTCACAAACATGATGAAAGAATCAGATAGTCTACTCTTAAATCCTTTCAACCTTTTGTCCGGTAACCATTAACATGTTCGATTATCTGCACTGGCAGTTTAGACTGACCGATTTGGGAGAAGACGAAATATATGTATCTATAAAACAAGTGCAGGCAAGTAATTACATGGAATGGGCCAAAATAGAGTGCCTATACTGCGAAGACATTACTCAAACCAACACAAAGTAATTGGAAGAAAGCTTTACGCTATTAATGAGCTTTATGCCTTTTGTTAATGGGCAACATACTAATATGGTCAAATTCATGCTACTTTAAACTACAAATACAGAATAAACAGACATCAAAACAGATTAAACTCAAAGCTTATTATGTCAGAACGAATACCGTAGGCACTGCACTGGCCACACATGCAATAGAAGCATTCTTGAAACCAGCACGAACACCTTCTGAAAAGTATACAAAGGCTAACTAATGTTATGAACAAGAGATGATGCGATTAATAATCAAATAAAACTTGTAAATAAGCAAAATCTAAAAGCATTGACTTAAAAGAAAAAAAAACATTGATCGCACTTGCATCTCCAGCTCCAAAAAAAGAAAGAAGTGAGAGAAGCGATCATGGGAATGAATGCTCAGCAATAAACAGATTAGAAATTTCACCAACAATTCTCATCATAATGAAACAAAACATGGAGTCAGATATTTTCACATTTTCCCTACAAATTATCCAGTGACAATTAGTACAGCAGCTGAAGAAGATCGAATCCATTGCGTTAACATCGAGATTCCGTTGTTTTTAATAAGAATTCTAAATTTCAACCAACTCCACAAAGCTTGAAGGACGTGAAATCAAAGAAACGAAGGATCAAGGAATCGAGAGCGCAGTAACAGACCTTGAGTACAAAGCTTCGCGTTCGATATTTTCCGTTCTTCAGCCGGCGATGGAATTACAAGAGCATTCCTTCTTTCCACCCATAGATCCCTCAAATCCGATGGAATTCCCATTATCGTCGTCGGAGACCGATTCGCAAAATTCAGCGCAGTTGAATAGATCTATTCTGTCCAAAGAACATGGTTAATTTATTTGCTCTCTTTTCATTTTTTAAATTGGAAGACATCCAATCAAATTTGGTTTCGTCTCCTAATCATCGGCGCCGCCTGTTTTTTTTTTTTTTTTTTTTTTTTAAGGTCAAATTAAGTAATATATAAACCTTCACGCCGTCTCATTTCATACACATATAATTTATATATATATATATATATGCTTAAATTTTCAGTAGAAGAATAATTAATAAACATAAAAAAGAAAATAACAATAAATAGGTTCAAAACCTCAACTTTTATAGAAATAACAATTTAGTTTCAAAGTATAATTGAGTAAATAATAAATTTGTTCGGGTTCTTATATTATTAAGATTTAATGAAATTTTTCTTGAAGTATATCAATAATCTAATATGTTACTAAAGTATTTATAAATTGTAAAGACTAAATAATTATAATAAAAAATTAGAGTCGGGTTTTTGACCTAATCAGTATTTCAACCTCATTTATCAAGTTTAAATCTAAGAAAAAGATAAGGCAAGCAGATATCTAAAAGTGAAACGATGGGAGTTGAAAAACTTTTAGCTTGTTTAGGGGTGCCCTTGCGGTTACAAAATCACCCCCGAAAGCCCCCTTGACTCTCTTACTTCTAGCTTGCGGAGCTACATACTAGAAAAAGAAAAGGAGACTCTAGATTTTTTTTCTAACCTCTTGAGACAATTTGCTCTTTAGGGCTGATTGAGAGGTTCGCCGCCGACTATTCAAAATTGAATGAGTGCTCCTACAGAGCGATCTCCTTTTACATACATCAACTTTGCCCCTTTGTTAGGGAACCTGTTCATTACTAGAAGAAGTGAAACCAATCGAATTGCCCCTATCGAATAAAAAATCTTAGAAAAAAATGTGCAATTGCTATAACTCTGATCTTGGTGTGTCACGGGGTCGGTGGAACGTAATCCCTAACTAACATTCTTTAGTTCTAACTCTTACCGTTGCAATTCCACCAAAAATCTATTCAAATCTATTGAATCCCTATCCAATTTATTTGTTAATTTGTATAGTTTTTCTAAATTATCATTCATTTTGCTAATATAAATATGGTAATAATTGTTAGTGATTTGTATATAATTTTTTTCTTCCTCTTTTTGTATATATGATAACTTCAAAACTCTCATTATATTTTCAAATTTAATTTATATGCGTAGTAAAAAAAAAAGATTATATCGTACGACGTGTCGGACCGCCAAGATTGAAGGCCATGCAACTTCGACACGTACTAATTCAAAAATCTCAAATCTCATCTCCTCCGCAAGAAATTTCTATTATATATACGTTATCCACAAAAAGACGAGAGAAATCGGATTGTCAACTCCATCAAAATCACAGCGGCGAAGCCTTCGCGATCATCATGTCCAATCAATCAAGACCAGCGACCAGCCGGACTCTCTACGACTCCCCTCCCTCCTCTCGCCACATCGTCAAGTTCGTGACGGCGGCAACCATCGGTACCATCTTCCTCGTCTCTTCTGGATTGACTATAACAGGAACAGTTCTAATCCTCATACTGTCCACTCCGATTCTCGTCTTGTTTAGTCCGATTTTGGTACCGGCGGCAACTGTTCTGGTCCTCGCGGCTGCCGGATTCTTCTTCTCAGCAACTTGTACGGTGGTAGCGATAGCGGCACTGACGTGGATGTCCAAGTACGTGACGGGGAAGAGGCCGTCAGAGGCAAGATGGAAGAAACGGGGAGGGAGATGAAGGAAGGAAAGGAAGGTGCAGATAAAGGCCGAAGGTATAAAAAATGGCGTTTGTTGGAGATTTAGAGTTGGGGTTTTGAAATCGAAGTATCCGAGTGGCATAGTGTTTGTGTATCGTCTGCTTTAGTAAAGCTTCTCTGTGATGATCTGTTTTAAGGATGAAATAAATCACAAATTTCAGAACCATTAGATTAGTAAAGACTCAATGCCCATAGTTAACAATTCAGACAGTTCTCCGCCATAGCCACTGAGCTTATTACAGTAAAAAAGGATGTTAAATCTACCAGACAGGTTGGGATTCAAAGGGAAATAACACAAATCCCAAAATATATACATCACTGTGAACAACACAAAGGAAAAGGAAAAGGAAGATGGTGTCTTTAGGGAAATAAAACAGAGGATTTGATTACAATTGGGAGAATGCTTCCCTTTTTTTGTTCTTTTTTCTCTTTATCTATTTGTTTGGGTTTTAAATTTAAGATGATTTGGGTTGTTATCTACTTCTGCCCTAAGAGTCAATTGAGTGTGGGATGATGAAGCCTGCCAGCCAACGAGCAAACCCATGTGGTGAAGAACAACTTTCCCTCCCCCAGAAAAAAAGACAAGGTAAGAGAAAATAGAGTCTCTGTCAAGATCAGCAAATAATTATATAATTAATCATCAGGACTGCCAGAACATATCGAACTCGTTACTGTACAAGGATCGATCTTGGATCTCCAGATTCGCAACGTGCCAATTAACGAGTCGGGATTGGAGAAATTTACAAACAACCAATCCCGCTGGGAAGATCCACCATTCACTTTCATCCCTGGAAAACACAAAAATCAGATCAGTTTGGAATTCCAATGGAAGTAAAGAGAAATGAACTTTCCAGCACATGGAAGAAGCCCCTCACATGTTAATAGTCCATGGCTGAAAGCTTGGATGCTTGGACGATTGAGATTTTGAGTGAACATACCCACAGAGAAATGCAACCAACTGGGAAAAAGGTAAAGCAACCAATCAGATGGGATGGTCCAATGATGAAGTCATGAGTGAGTGAACACAAACAGTTTTGGCTTGAATATTCAGGTAATGGAAGTGAACGTGATGGAACTTACAACATTGACCAAGGATGTGAGGTTCCACAACGCGTAGACACGAGCGAGCCCTGCAGAACGTCTAGGTCCTTGGCTGAATAAGGCATTGATTCCAGCAGGGAATGGGAGGAGAATGCCGAGAGGCAAAATAAATAGAACTAGAAAAACGTCTGCCAACGAGAATGAGAACATCTGGAGCAGGGTAAGCAAAACCAAGCTGAAATCCCCTAGAAGTAGCATTGATATGACTAAACCAACAAGATCCTGCAATTGGCAGAAGAATAATACCAACATGTGTAAGGTCCTACATCACAAACCACCCTCCAAACTTGAAACTGTAAGTTAACCATGCGTTCAAGCTTTTGGACAACATTGACGTATGTACCTGGTGACCAACAGGTTTAGTATTGTGAAGCACATAAGATAGAGGGCAAGATACATCTCTCTTCTCCTCGAGCATTTGTAGGCTGCTGACATCTAAAATGCCACCATATCTCTTCTTTCGCTTTGCACTGCCTTCAGTGGAAACATGGTTCTGGCTTAAATGTGTTTCTTCCCTCGAAAGGAGAGACTGATTTTCTCTAGGAATGTTCTTTACACTGGAAAACGAGAGTAGAACATAAAATATAAACGAACCTGACCGCAAAAGTATGCAAGAAATTTGCAAATATATCTACAGCTAATCTTGTCTGTCAGATAATGATCAAAACCATAAAGCATTTTTTCAACATCTCCAAAATAATATATATTACCATGAACTTTGGTCATATTGTTCATTTTCTTGACTTCTTGTGGGCGGAGGACTGGTTCCTTCAGCGGCATAAATGAGGAGACCATACTGGCAATAACCACAGGCTGTAGCCTGAAACCATGCAAGATCCACACGAATGCCATGATTCCTCAAAGCAGGATTTGCAAAATTTTCCAGCCATCTAACAACAGGTAGAAATGTTGATCTAAGCTGACCACGACGAACCAACCGTAACTGTGCGTTCAGACCAGCAACCATTCGGTACCATGTCGTAGGTGGTAGAGCCTGCAAATCATAATGCAAAACCCATAGAATTCCAGGAGAAAAAATCTATTTAATATGATTGTTTACACAACAGTAGGAGTAATTGAGCTTCGAGTTCCTATTAGCAAACCTGACTCATGAGACTAGTAAGAATGTTGTCGTTAAGAAGTGAAAAAGAAGCCATGTAACTTCCATCGCCTCCAAAGAGTAAGGAAAGTGGAAATCTTTGATTCAAACGAGGAGGAAGATCAGTTCTTTTTTCGTCTCCACCCAGAAAGAAGTCCACAAATGCAAGCATTAGATCGGATGTTGCTGCGACCTATAGTTGCACAAAAATCAGCTAAAATTATCAGAGCTAAACATCATGCACTAAGCTAGCTACTTACACATGGAAGGATAATGGTTTTGGAGAAAGAAAACCAAGAAAGGAGGAGCAGAGATAATGCACACATATACGATTAATATAGCAGTAGAAAACTTGAGAGACCAGCAGGTCCAAAGTGAATTGCACATTAAAAAAAGATCATAAATTTAATCGATGACTAAAAGGAAGCAAAATTTTTAAGAAGTTTTCACATCAAATATCAATAATATCGTTTCTTTCGTAAATAGATGCTAAGGACATTCGATAACGTCCAACCATACCAAAAAGGAATGAGTAGCGGCACTCAAAAAGTTCCTGGATTAGCAAGGGAAGATTATATTGTTGAGGACAAGTTCGTAATTGTTCTATCGTAAACAGATAGCCCCAACATCATTGCATGCAAAAGAAACATGCTAAAAGAAAAGAGAACCAGAGAACAAAGCCCTCCAAGCTTGAGTGAAAACTACAGAAACTTGATTGGAAGTCTCTTCCACTAAAGTGAAATCCAATAGCTACACCTACTCACAATTATGAATTACCCCGTGGCATTAAAGGGGCAAAGCCATTTTCCAAAGAGACTAAGACTCATACTCACAAAGTCATCAATCCAACTCCCCCCCATCTGGTGCCACGCTCGTCCCCCACTTCCAAAAAAACATCTCAATGGCTTCTCATCGATCCGTATCCTCATTGCCTTGTTTTAACTTATTTTTCCACCACCAAGTTGAAAAACTCCATTTCAAGTTTCCATTCAACAAAATTGAAAGGACGTGAACTAAATCATTACAAACTAAATTTCCAAAACTCCCCTCCCCAGATTCAAAAAATAATCGAATCTT